ATTTTCCATTACTACTTGGTCATTACTGGAGTATTTATTATCCCCTTTTGATTTTTTACTTTTCCATAGTTATTACTCGTATAAAGAATTTAGCATTTTCCCGTTTAATACTCGTATTATACACATACATACATATTTTTTTAATAATACTTTTGTTTTCCATACACGTCTTAAAGATTAGGTAAAATACATGCTTTTTTTAAAAAAAAAAAAAAAAAAGCAAACGTACAATACATGTACGTACATAGTTTTTCATGTTTTAATACATGTGTTTTATTACAAAATTTTCAATAATACATGCAAGATTCACGTATTATACATATAATTTGCAAATATTATTGAATATATACTGGGGTCATTTTTTTTAATTTTTTTAATAAATAGTATAGCAGTGACTATACTCTTTAAATATATACTGGGATCTTCTTTTTTTTTAAATTTTTTTTCCCTAATTTTAGTTTATCGATAAGAGTAGTTTATAGCATTATCCATTATTATTTGGCCATACCTGAGTCTCTATTGTCCCTTTTTGATTTTTTACTTTTTCCAAAGTTACCCTTATAAAGAATTTAGCATTTTTCCATTCAATACTCGCATTATACACGTACATATGTATTTTTCAATAATTCTTCCATTTTCCATACATGTCTTAAAGACTCATTAAAATACACGTTTTTTTATTAAAAAAAGCAAACGTATAATACACATACATACATATTTTTCAAATTTAATACACGTGTTTTTTATAAAATTTTCAATCATACACACAAAATTCGCGTATTATACACATAATTTTCACATATTATTGAATAAAAATAATATATAATTAAATATTAAAATATTTTCAATTCTAGAGGATTAAGTGAGAAAATTTTTGTTTCAGGGTGTAAAGTGAGAAATTAAGACCCTACAGTTCCCAAGCAACCGTGTCCCACCCAAACCGATTGCACAAGCCTTCCCTCCACCTGCTTCTCCTCCTGTGGCAAGTCATCACTCCTCCTTCTAAGCTAAGTTGTGAATGTCTTTAAATATTTTTATCATGAACTCATTAATTTTTTATGCGATGATCAAAGATCATTCACTCTTCCTTTGTCCGCATGAACCATGATATTGACATGCATTAGAAAGTTATCAATGAGTTTAGTTTATAAAATCTTGTAGGAACTCTTTCGCGCTAACAGGAAACAGGAAAGGAGATCATGCAATTTCTTTTTTCTTCCTTTATTTTGTTCAGTGAGTTTCAGAGTGATTGTGGCTTTTAGGTTGGGATAGCAGTCTCTGTTCATTCATGCTTCTACAGTATGAAAAAGGAGAATGATGAGAAGGGCAAACGCAAAGACATAAGGGGACAAGTGTATATATAATTGTCAATAAAAAGTGAAGTGAAAGATGTGTCTTACTCTTATTTAACATTATACGCTTTAGCAAAGTTACTTGGTTTGGTGCTTATGATTCCAAAGTGAACTCTGGATACATTTTGCTTTTCCAGTTTGTCCGATTGTTGTGGAAGAGAATCAAACCCTTCCTATATGCTAATCATTTTCCTGCGACTTTGTTAGAGAGAGAGAGAGAGAGGTCTAAATCCTCATCTTACCCGTTTTAGACAAAAGGGATATAATAAGAAAAAAAAATTTAAATACAAATCAGTCAAATACAAAATTTTGAATCAACATGTCAAAAATGGAATGTAATCTATATGGCAAACTAGTCAAATGACTTATATCAGCAAACAATAATTCGAGAACTAAACCCAACTATCGGTTGAATTTTTGGACCTCTATCAACTTTTCAATAAAAAATAAAGTAGATATTTAGCATGTCAATATGTACCATTAATGTGAATTACTGTTGTAGGTGTTATATTAACATATCTAATATTTGGCCAAAGGAGGTCACACAATAAAGAAAGAAGTTTTGAGCAAAGTTGTATCTCATAAATTTTTGTGTGTGAGACTTTAAATAACTTTATTTTAGGGACATTTTTATACTGCCAACTCTGCATTGTATTTCAACAATTCAAACCATCTATTTTATAGGATACAAACATCGATACGATAATCATAAGTCATTCTTGTTTCTTTTATAGTATTGGGAACTTTTAGGTGAGGCTACGAAGCAGGTTGGACTAGCGAGGAAGCTTGTCACGAGCTAGCTCAAATGACATATATATATATATATATATATATATAGCTAGATATGTCACATTATATATGGAAGATATTAGTGATGTACTTACAAATTTTGTGGAATTTGTGGTGGAAAAGCTAGCTGGCTGGTTCTGGTTATTGCAGACTTGCAATTAGTTGTACCCTAACCCTACCAAAACTCATATATATATATATATATATGTGTGTGTGATATCTGTCTTACCATATTGTAAAGTCCAACAGAGTGGTGAGAGAGAGCCGTGAGTAAAAATTGTCGTGTTCTGTTTTCCATGAGCATATAAACATCACAAGCTCTGTAAAAAGTAATGCCTACGGAGATAAAAGACAAGGTTTCATAATGTACAAGTTCACATGACATGAATATTGGGCTATACAGAGTGAAAAAAAGGAGTTCACATGAAGCCCGACAATTAATGGGTCCACTTAAACAAATTATAATTAATGCTCTCTCTCCCCCTCTCTCTCTCTCTCTCTCTCTCTCTCTCTCGGGGTCAAGGTCAAGCTGTCGAAGCAACTTCTGTGTTTTCATACGTATATACAAGTTCTTTTTTGAAGCAGCATATGGAAGAACGGAATGCAAGGTTCTACGTACTTGAGTTTGACAGGAGGAGGAACATCGTCACGAGCCCTAAATTAAACACAATAATTTTTACTTTAATATGAATCCTTTTTTCTTAGTAGGGCAGGCAGCATCTCACAGCTCAAGAATTCAAACTACAAAATAAGGAAGTTGTTATTCATACTCGAAAAATATTCATCATAGATGCACTCCATGGTTTACTGACTCATTGAGTATATAAAAGTGCAAATTAAAATTTTGCGTTTCTTGGTTATTTTATAAAGGGGGGACATTTTGGAAAAAGCAAAAGGAGAGAGAAAATTTTTAAAAGAAGCAAAAATGGACAAAAATACCCTTATTTATTTTTAGATTTCCTAAGGAATCCAATACCTTTGCATGTCTTTGATTTGAAAGTTGAGTGGTTTTTTTGTCTTTTTTCAAAAAGCTTTGGTTTTTTCCAAAAGTGAAATTTTTTTTACGTCTAAAACCTAAAAAACCTTTTTAATTAATAATTATAAATTTAATATACATTGTTAATTTTTTTTTTTCCACACATTTAGATTTCTTAAGCTAATGATTGTCCGACATGATATCAAAGTATTCTTAGTAACTCGGTCATGAACTCAATTCCGTTTTTGTGTTTTTTTTTTTACAAATTTATAAATAAACCCAATCCTAGACATGTATTTATAAAAAAACTCAAGCACTATTTAAATATAGAAACACACCCAAAATTAACCCCAAAGTCAACTTTTTGGGTGTGTTTATAAATGGGTTTTGAGTGTGTGTAATGATGGATTTTGGGTGTGTTTATATGTTTAAATAGTGCTTGGGTTTTTTTATAATTTCAACCTCTATTTTGGGTGTTTTAGTGAAACTCCCTTTTTTTTTTTCGGTTTGACTCTACATTTACATGATGAGTTTGCATAGATTTTAGGAGTGCAAGTTTGATGGTCATCATTTCCCTTTACAATCCTAGGCCTATGGTAGCTTTTATAGAGTGAAAACAATTAGTCACAATCTAATGATATGTTATTAAACTCTCAATATGAATCGTGAATTATAACTTTCCTGGTGTAGTCAAAATTAAAAGTTTGAAAAGACAATTCAAAAAGTATGGGAAAAGACAAAATTACCCAAAAAATAATTAAAAGTGAAGACTAATAGCAGAGACAGTAGAGCATGGTGAGTCAGCAGAGAAAAGAAGCATGGTATTTTGCTTGCTCACCTCAGGCTCACATCCTTCTTAATTGACAGAGACACCAATGAATTCAAAGTACTGCCATCCATGTTTGTGCCATTGTTTTTACCAATGCTTTTTAGGCCTTTTGCCTATAGCCAATCAAGAAGCCAAAGCTGGAGCCAAGCCGGCACATTTCAACTATTTCTTTTGATAAAAACGAAAAAAACACTCCCAGGTTCCCATCCCCTGCCTTAAAGTGGTCTCACTAAAGCACCCATAGTCCATTTCAAAAACAATGGCATCGCTTTCCTGATTCCCAATTATTATTTCCAGTTTCCACTAACTACAGTCGTTATCATCATGAAAAATAAATAAATACAGTTCCGAGTTCATAATGTTCAATTGTGGATCAAGTTAAACTGCTGTTGATGCAAAATTTATACGTTCCTCAAGTATATATTTTGCTGCTTTTACAAGAGTAATCAAATAGTTCATTGATGCTTTAGCTTTTCATAATTTCCGTAGTAAACAAAATCATAGCAATTCTTATGACCATAAACAATTTAGTCTTGAGATGCAGATTGAAGTTCCTATTTGCCACTGCTAGTTTGCCAATTTCAAACATGGGCAGCCATACTGTGCTAACTTGTAATAAGTATTCGGCTTGGTTTCTCTGTTTTTCGGTTCCAATGCCCACCCCTAGCTAATACCTATACAATGAATGTTAGATAAATTTTATTTTACAATGCTCACGAAAATATTGTTTTTCAATGGGATCCAAATGCTTATGGATGGATAGAACATTACATGTGTGGCCTACATTTCAAATGCAGGCTAACGAAATGAGACCATATAAAGTTCTTCAATAATTATGAATCATGGATGATGAAATTCACTGAGAACTTCATGCATTTTCTTTTGATGAATAAGATTTCCTTGTCTCCTTTAAACAATGAACTGGTTGAACAAAATGTGTTCATAGGGGCCATATATACAGTTGAAGGACCCATTGATTCAAATTTAGGTGGAGGGCCCCATAATTTTGATATGCTTTAGCTTCCAAAAGAACTGCAACACTCAAAACTATCACATTTACATGAAGCAGGCATATCATGATTCATGTATGACAGTGCAACTCTGTTTTCACCTGCGAAGTCCACCGAGATTAGAAACCTCTCGCTTTCAAAACCTAACTTCACTCTGTGTCTGAATCCAAAATAGAAAATAAGCAAAAGATCAAAACTCACTCGGACACTCTCTCCTCGAACTTATAAAATCCCACATTTTTCCAGAGAGTCAAAACAAAAGCAAAGCAATTTCCACCTTTTCCTACCCATTTTCTACCGTTCTCCCTCAAACCAAAGACCACTGTTTATCTTCTCAGGCATTATGCAGAGTCTTTAGACCACCCATTTCACTTCAAAACCTCACAAAGCCAGCACAGCCCAGAAAGCAAGAGTTGAAAAAGATCCAAAATTTCCCACCAACCCCTCAAACCAAACATGCATTTCACTTTCTCCATTCTCCTCCTCCTTCTCTTCCCCTCTCTCTGTTTCTCCTCACTTACTGAGCTCCCTGCTCTTATGGCCATGAAGGCCTCTCTGGACCCACAAAACCAGTTCTTGACTTCATGGACGCCTCACTCTGAGCCATGTAGTGGAGCTTTTGAAGGCGTGGCTTGCAATGAGCAGGGCCTTGTGACCAATATCTCTCTTCAAGGGAAGGGTCTCTGGGGCCAAATACCCCCAGCTGTTGGTGGCCTGAAGAGCCTGACTGGTCTGTATCTTCACTTCAATGCTTTGAGTGGGAAAATACCAAAGGAGATTGCTCGTTTGAACCAGCTCAGTGACTTGTATCTCAATGTCAATAATCTTTCTGGTGGAATTCCTCGTGAGATTGGTAACATGCCTAATTTGCAAGGTGGGTTTAAAAAATAATAATTATTGTTGTTTAGAGTTCGCAATTTTGTGCTTATGTGAGATTGAATTTTCAGATTTTTTTTTTCTTTTATATGTCGTAGAATTTCTTGTTATACCTTTTTTTTCTTTGTGAAAATAAAAAGTTCTTACTTTTTGGTTAATAAATATAGAGGCAGTGAAAAGCTTTCTGCTTTACATCTCACATGGAGAAAAGTGGGTGCATTGGAAACTTTTGCTCACAGAAGGATTACATATGGATTTCTGGGTTTTTTTAAAAACAATTCTGAAATTTAGAGGTTGAAATGGGTGCACTGAAACTTGAAAAGCCTTGTTGTATTATATCTTCCCTATTTATTTTTCTTAATTCATATTCTTGTTTTCTCTACTGGATTAGGTTTGAAGTGGTATTGTCATTTGCATTTACCAGCTTTCTTGAGATTAAAACTACAGTAACTATATCTTTTGAATCGATTACTACAGTAACTATATCTTTTACAAAATTATTTCATATGGAATGAACTTCAAAAGTCCTTAGCTCTAGATTTAATTTTTATGGTCTGTTCAAGAAATGAATTTAAAACAGTTTTGGTATTCTAGCTAAGAATGGAGGGAAGGAAGAAAGGAGTGGTAATCTAACAGTTTTGAATCAATTAGGTATTCAAAAATGGTTCTTATAGTTTGAATAGCATAAACTTTTCAGAGTTATGTGTAGAACCAGTGATTAAACATATTAGTTTAACCGAGTTTTCTTTGTTTGGAGTGTGCAGTTTTGCAGCTGTGCTACAACAAGTTGACTGGGGGCCTACCGACACAATTGGGAGATCTTAAAAGGCTCAGTGTTCTTGCAGTGCAATCCAATCAGTTAACCGGGGCAATTCCAGCAAGCCTGGGTGAGTTGGGGACGCTAACAAGGCTGGATTTGAGCTTTAATAGCTTTTTTGGTCCTATTCCTGCAAGATTGGCTCATGCTCCTATGCTTCAAGTCCTTGATGTTCGAAGCAATAGTCTCTCAGGAAATATCCCTCCAGGTAATATGGTGTGATGCTCTCAACCAGTTAACTTATGTTTTATTTTCTTTGTAAGAATTTTAAGTTCACCATTTGCATTTGTGGATGTAAATACAGATCTAAAGAGACTGAATGGAGGATTTCAATATGAAAACAACCCAAGCCTATGTGGGGTTGGGTTTTCTGGCTTAAAAGTTTGCACAGCTACTACTACTCGGAACCCAAACAAGCCACAACCATTTGAACCTGGTAACTTTACTGCAAAAAATCTTCCAGACTCACCTACTGCAAGAGAAATCCCTGAGTCTGCAAATTTAGAGTCCAATTGCAGCCAAACCCACTGTTCAAGAGCATCAAAATCCCAACAAATTGGTATAGTTTTTGGGGTGATTGGAGTTATTGCTGCTTTAGCTGTATCTGGTCTCTTTACCTTCTCATGGTATCGTCGCCGAAAACAGAAAATTGGGAGTACTTTGGACACTTCGGATAGCAGGCTTAGTACTGACCAGGCAAAGGAAGTTTACAAGAAGAATGCATCTCCTCTCATCAATCTGGAGTATTCTAACGGGTGGGACCCGTTGGCTAAAGGTAGCGCTGGGTACTCTCAAGAAGTTCTTGAGAGTTTTATGTTCAATTTAGAAGAAGTGGAGCGTGCAACTCAGAGCTTCTCAGAAGGCAATCTGTTGAGGAAGAGTAATTTTTCTGCCATCTACAAGGGAATCATAAGGGATGGATCAGTTGTTGCTATAAACTGCATCAGCAAGACAAGCTGTAAGCCTGATGAAGCTGAATTTTTGAAGGGATTGAAGATATTGCCCTCATTAAAACATGAAAATCTTGTTAGGTTGAGAGGCTTTTGTTGTTCAAAAGGCAGGGGGGAGTGGTTTCTTATCTATGATTTTGTCCCCAATGAAAGTCTGTTACAGTATCTCGACATTAAGGTTGGCAGTGGGGAGATTCTTGAGTGGTCAACCAGGGTATCTATAATCACTGGCATTGCTAAAGGTCTGTGTATCTCTTGCTCAATAAAGTTACCATAATTGTTTCTGGTTTTTGCCTTTTTGTTCTTCTTACCATCAGTGTATCTCTTGCTCGATAAAGCAACAAGAACTCCATAGGAAAATTTGACATATTATTCCCTTCTATTACTTGGTACTAAAATTTGACATAATATAACTCCTTCTAATACTTGGTGTATACTGAATGTTTGACATATTTTGGCGGCAGGTATTGGATATTTGCATGGAAGTATGGGCAATAAACCTGCAATAGTTCACCAGACCATATCAGCTGAGAAGGTGCTTATTGACTCCCACTATAACCCCTTACTCTCAGATTCGGGCTTGCACAAACTCCTTGCAGATGATATTGTCTTCTCGATGCTCAAAGCCAGTGCTGCCATGGGATACCTGGCTCCTGAGTACACAATTACTGGTCGCTTCACTGCAAAGAGCGACATTTATGCATTTGGTATGATTGTTTTTCAAATCCTTTCTGGAAAACGTAAAATCACCCAGGTGAATCGCCAAGGGGCTGAGGCAGGCAGATTTGAAGATTTCATTGATGCAAACCTTGAGGGAAACTTTTCAGAATCAGAGGCAACCAAACTTGGAAGACTTGCTCTTCTTTGCACGCAGGAGTCTCCCAGTTACAGGCCGTCCATAGAAAATGTGGTGAAAGAGCTAAGTGGGTTTATCTGCACTTGATTTTCATATGGAGTTATTGCCACAATTTTCAAATCATTAGAGAGATTTAGATGAAGCAATTAACTGCTGACTGATGGCTGAAGCTGTGTTTTCTTCTAATTATCGTGTCCGGTTCTTGATCAGTGAAGTGTTCGTGAATGGTATGTACTGGTTTGCTGTAATTTATGGCAGAAGTGATTTTGGTGGGAGGAAGCACCCTTTGATTATTTGTCTTTGTTGAGGGAGGCAAGTTGGTTCAATTAGCAAGACATTATTTGTAGTTTTTATGTTCAACACGTAGAAGCTGTTGTGTTCCAACAATGTCATTAGGTTGCTAGTGCATGTAAAGTGTGAACTAAACTGTGAACTTTCCTTTAAACTCAGATGTAAAATTGTAGATGGAAGCAAACTCAGCTTCCTAGTATTGTACGTTACCTTTGATATTTATAAACTGCCATTGTTGGAATTCTAAACAAGTTGCAACCATCACTTGTGAAATGGAAAATGTTTGGATCAGAAATGGCTGGCTAGGAAATGGACAAAATGGTTCCAGTCTACAAAGCATGCCCAACTCTCAACTAATTTTTTTGATTGATTTCTTTCATTTGAACTTGGACACACATTGGTCCAATTTCATTGCTTTTGCTAAGGTTGCGTGTGAAGCCTTCTTGTCGTTTTTAACCTGCCTGGCTTTGTTCCTTTCCTTATCATTTTTCTTCCAAGAAGAAAAAGAGAGAATTAAGGGAACTTGTGAATGCTGTAGTACACAGTACAGAAAGAGTTCAATCCACCCAGGTCCTTCTACTGAGGAAAAGGCTTGATGCATAGGTTCAGCAATAAATTCTAACTGACATGACATACCATGAAGTTCCTCGAAAGGGACTTGATTACGAGAGTTAAAATCAACTAGCTCTTACTCAAGGGATATTTCTTGTTACAAATATAAAAAGGAGCTTCTATTGACGCTCCAAAAGAGTCATCATACATCCCTAGTGCAATTTATCCGTTGTGTTATTATGACGGGGATTACATGATGACATTTTTGAAGTTGGCTTGGTAAAATTTAACGGGCCTAAAGAATAAATAAGACGTGCCTTGCTTAGCCCATGATCCATTCAGAGCCCAATCTGACTAACCACCCAAAAGCAGCTAGAATGAAAAACACTTTTTGTTCGTTGACATTGACATGGTCAATTAATCTGAATTACAAAGTTTCTTAAAAGGGATTAGATGCCATTTCAGATTAGGGTCGTCAGGTGGTTTAGATATTTATGCAAAACAAATAGAAAAACAGGGATTTGATCCTTTTGGGGTTATTGTCATCCTGTTGCTTTCAAACATGAGGTAGGTGAAGGCAACAGCTTCTCTTTTTCCAATTTACTAACTATTTCTAGTTTGTCTCTGTGATGACGAACAAACCAACATTTTTCCAAGACCTAATAATGTTTACAACAAATTACAGAAGAGCTTTGTGGTTTTATTATGTACGGAGAAAAACTTATATAAAATGGATTCGTGTTATCTATATATATGTTTCTCATCGTGTGGTGATGAGAGAGATAAGTATATGAGTTATGAATCCGTGATAGCCAAGTTTTCTCATGAAGAGGGTTAGGACTCATCGGCTCCCGTGGTAGAACATATGTTAGATCTATATTTTGGCATTTAACACACGTTAGATTGATCAATTGTGCATTAGAAGGATTGTGGATTACATAGGAAAATATCTCATATCTTCTCAAAAGTTATTCTTTGTGTTGAGCTAACAAACAAATTACGTTTACTGGGACAAATAGACAACAAAACATTTGTAGAAGTCACTTTTATGCTTAATTCTAGTTGTTTATGGCACCTTGGCAGTCAGTGAAGTCACTCTTAATCCAACCTTCAATTACTTGACTACTTCAAAAACCCTTGGCATAAATATCTTCGCCCATGTTTAAAATAAATTGTATTTTTAAATTTTAGTTATATTATTTATATGGTTTTTTTTAATAGTCATTTAATTTTATAGGGTTTTCTTAGGCGTGCAGGTATTTAATTAATTTCTAATAATAATATAAGGTTGACTTCAGTTGAGTCTATATATATATATATATGGGAATCATGATGGCCGTACACTTAGAATGGTGCATATATAATATACATATATAGATATATGCCTACTTGGCTTAAATCAAATAGTAATAACGATGCGATCTTATCATTTTTGCATCACCAATTAACGTTTATTTGTACAACCTTGTTGTTGATTAGATATATAATATTTCTATGGCAAGTTGAGGGTATACTGACTCAGTACAATATATTGTCATTATCTGTCCCACCCCCTCGACATTAGTTATGCAAGTTGCCTTTGTTTTATATATATCTCCAAATTAATCTATAATAACTAAGACTTAGTCATGTGTACTCTAGTGTGTTGAAGAATATGAGTCTCACATCCGAAACTTAAGTAAATAAAATACAAATATAATGAATGGTTCTATTATTAAAAATACTAAGGTCTTTTGAAATAAAACCCAACACCTACTGGAATTTATAGGTGATTAAGTTGGGGACAATATTGGTGTTGTTAGTTGTAGGCCGTAGGCCCGTCTTTCTGAAATTTAATATGGTATTAGAGCGGGTTGATTGATTGGACTTGAATTACTAGGTTTTTACCCCTACCCCTTACCCAACATGTGATATTCACATGTTGGGCTTGAAACCCCACACCTATTGAGATTTGTAGGTGGTTAAGTTAGAGACAATATCGGTATTGTTAATAGTGGGCGGCATACTCGTCTCTCTGAAATTTGACATAGATATCATATATGCCAGTTATATAATTAAGGGATAGTAATATCACATCCTCATAGAAGTAAGCTATGTCTCTATTTAATTGTGCAAGTAGGCAAGTAGCATCCGTTAAAAAATCTCATTCCCAAGCAATGAAGTAAGCAGTATTCGTTAAGAAATATAATCAGAAAATACGGTAATTTTATTATTTGATGAGTGATGTTATTTATACCGTATATATTTGATATAATCCACATAGTGGGTAGGCCATCTGTGTAAGATGTGATCATCAAAATAATACAAATAACTTTATTATTACTTCATTAATACATGATTTTTTTATATATATGTCTCCTGGACACGCATGATGTGTTTGGAAGATTTTGCTAAGGTATTGTTGTCCTTGAAGGTACATTACTAAAGGTGATATTTTTCGAGAGTGCTACAACGAATCATTGGGATTTATGATCATGTTGACTAGAAATACAAAAACCATCATTATCTCATCAGACATGAAAACATATACCCACAATCAGCTCACGCTACTGCCCTGCCCTCCCTAACTAGCTACCCAATCAGAAAGATGCCTTCACCAATTATGCTCAAAAATAGGGTGAAAACATTTTATATAGATGGATTCTGTAGAAATGGCGACACTACAGTCTCAGCTTGTTTATTCGTTTTACCATACCTACTAGCTAGAATTATATGTAAATAAATTCAATTCCACGACTAATTCCATCGATGACCTAAACAAATGTGCGCGTATGTATGTTTTCACCTTTATTGATTAAAATAATTTAACACATGTCAAAATCACATTAGTGATAAGGAGGAGCTCCTCCTCAATCTTACGGAACTAAGTTTTTTCCTTGAAAACATTGATATATATATATATATTATTACTTTAAGGAAAATGTTAGGCTTACCACATTGTGTACAATCTCTCTTATGGAGATTAGCCCCATTATATTGGTGGGTTTCCACATCTATTAAAAAGGTGGTACGCAATATGATATTTGAAGAGCATGACTCGGCTTCTTAAAATTGAGAAGGAGCTCCTCCTTGAAACCAATGGGATTTTATCAAATTCTAGCAACATTGACAAAGTTCCAACAACAACAAAAATAATAATAATTTAACACATGTCAAAACCACATTGGTTGTAAGGAGAAACTGCTCCTCAATCTTAGAGCATCCACAATCATGCTCTCTATTTTTTAGTTAAATTTTAGCTAAAAACATATAAAAGTTATTTTAGTAGCTCTCTATAAAATTTAAACTTCAATCATGCTCTCTAGTATAGGGAGTCATAAATGCTATAACTCTTTTTTAATTGATCAATCTCTATTAAAAATAATATAAAAAATAGTTAGCATTAATTAAAGGTTTGAAATACTCGTTAAATAAAGCATCATTAAATTATAGGGAGCCACTAGGAGTTCTTTCTCTCTCCTCAGATTTAGGAGTTCCTAAAGGTCTCCTTATTTTAAGAGGTGAATAGAGAGCATGCACTGGCGGATCCACAGAGGAGCAAGGAGGTGCAGCTGCACCTTCCCTCGCAAGAAACTTCCTTGAGGATGCCAGAATTTGCCCCTTTGCTAGTGCCCACCAATTGTTCGACTAAATGTCTCAAAGGCGTTGTATTGTTTGCTGCATTGTGAGACCCTGAATATTTACCTTATATTGTTGGGCTCGATCTCACGAGCATGTAGGAGAAAACGGCTCATCAATCGGAGCTCCACAACCAAAGTTATGAATTTTCGAAGTTTTTCTACAATATTTGAAGTTAAGTTGCAGAGGCACAGTTCAAGGAAGAAGAAGACTCCACGTTAGACGTCAGCGCTTTTGATTTTGATTCTTTTTTAAATTGTCCAATAGCAAGCCGACACAGGTCCATTTCTAATTGGTCTAAATTAAAAAATTCATTAAAAACTCATATGTGTGCCAAAAAATTTACCAAAAATTACCCTCAACTTTTAATCATGTGTACTTTTGTTTCATGACCTCCAATTTACATGTGCTTTTGGTTAGATTAATTGGTATTGACTTTTGTTAGATTAAATATGTAATTGACATGGATTTTGTTCATATTTGATATGAATTTTGGTAAACTAATTGTGTCAATGACAAAGATTTTGTTCGTATTAATTGATATCCATATAGACTATAATCAATTAGTTGTATACATAAAACTCTTATTTATTTTAATTATGAATGACATTAGTATTGGTTAAATTCTAAGGGCATTTGGTTGTATAATTTTTTTTTTTGAATTTTTAGCCTTTTTTTTTTTAACACACTACACAGATGTTAGGACTTGAACGCAGGGCCTTGCTTGAGTCCTTTGTAAATTTTTAGCCTTTTAAATATTGCACCTCCCCTGAAAAATTCATGGATCCGCCACTGCTGCATGGTTGGAGTTGTATTTTTCCAAGTCCTCCCTAAAATTTGTCTAAAGAAGTGGTTTAGGGAGCCCATTGTGGATGTTTTTAAAGAGCCAAACTTTTTTCCATATAAAAATGTGATAATTGTAGCATTACCCTTACTTTAATTAATATTCAACGGCGCTAATGTACAAAATCTAAGAAATTTTTTCTTAATTCTCAGTTGTTGCAACTTGGATCCTCATCAAAAAGTAAATTAATGAATGTTTATGCCGCCCAAAGCAATCTAGCCGTCGTTAACTTAACCTTATCCCCGAT